GCGTGTTGTACAAGTCTGCCAAAGAGATGAAATAAGAAAAAGACAAAGGAGTCAGGACAAGAGAGAATCGAAGACTCAAACCCTGAAATGTTTATTCAGAGAAAGTTTTATTTGGATATAATTAGAAATTACATGAATTTATGAGTAAATTATTAAGGTCCAAGACTGGACGAGGAATGTTCAATATATAAGCTCTTATACAACCCATAAATACATTGACAAAGTTGCTTCAATTCGTATCGTATTGACCTTCTAAAAGAAAAGTAGAAAAATCGTTGCAAATTTTTTTAAAAAATGATAATCAATGCATATTGATTCGTCACCTTAACACGCAAAAACCAAAAGCACACATCTCTATATAGAACGGATGTATATGAAGACCAACTCTAATTAAAAAAAAAAAAAAACATCAACTTTGATTTTATTTATTATGAAATTCGTATCGAAATTTCTTGAATTTGTTATTTTCATGAAATTCATATCGATATTGATATGAATTTAATTACAATGACAATCACATAAATATTGTCAGCTAAATGTGCAACAGAGAGGATACAAACTAATGGTTTCTCTAGAGAAGCCAAGTAACTTGAAGCTTAAGAGCCATCAAACCTGCTTAGATCATGCGGTATCCTTCAGATCGTAGAAGCTAGATCGATGCATTTGTTATAAGATTTCGGAAATCTGCAAAAAGAAAGCCACATTCCACGCCATTAATCAAAGATAAAAAAGAAGATAGCAGAAAGTTTCTTGCTTGTTCATCAGTTGATTCTAGTATGTATACATTGATTGGCATCTCTGCGATGATAATGCCGCTGCTTTCTTCGAGGCTTTTGAGAGTGCTTACTTCACCTCCAACAACCATGTTTATGACAATACCACCTTAAAAGAAAAAATTTCGAATGTTAAAAGTGACATTGTTGATGAACACAAAGGAGTTTGTTTTGTCGATGTAGGTGAGTGAAGAAAAAAACCTGAAGCTAAGCAAGTTGTTATACGCCTTGTATATGTTTCCTGAAACATGTTCATTACAACAAGAGAATGAGAGACGTTTCTTTAATCAGAAGATATACAAAATTTGGGGTTGATTAACAAAAATACCAACCTTCTTTGTAGGAAGCTCGTAGTTTATGAGAACTCGTGCAGATAAAGAAGATTCTCCAGATGAAAGTAGCGGAAGACACACATCGGTTACAACTACCAAATGAGATTTTGTTTCTTCTTTTCCGGTTTCACTCGCATCTAAACCTTCTTCTACCACAGAGTTAAGTTGCTGGTTCCAGTTAATTGTTGCTTGCCGGAATTTCTCCAAAACCATATTTCTTTCTCTCTCTGCTAGATCGCTGTACTGTAAACACAATAGACCATTGAATATGAGCATAATCTAGAGGAACGATAATGTAACATAATCCAACACCAAAATCAAACACTAATCATGATGAAGAAGAAGCAAATGATTCAACAAGAAGTGTCTTTTCGAATCAAGAACATTAAAATCTCCACGGATACAGAACACTAAGAATCCGAAATCAAAACCGGTGGAAATCAAACCAAAACATTCGTGAATCAAAAACATTGGAAATGTGAACGTAATCAAGAGAAAGACTAATCATGATGAACAAGGCAAGAGAGTCAAAAAGAAGAGTCTTTTCAAATCAAGAACATTATCAAGCCAAACATTCGAGAAGCAAAATATATTTGAAATGTGAGGAAGACTAATCATGCTGAACAAGCAAGTGATTCAACAAGAAGTGTCTTTTCAAATCAAAAACATTCAAAACTCCAGGGATACAGAACAACACCAAAGAACAGGAAATCAACCAAAAACAATCGAAATGTGAAAGCTAAAGAGAAGAAGAGATTACCAGAGCAGCTAAAGAAATGTAAGGAAGATTGGATAAGGAAGAACAAACAGCGTCAAGTTCATCACGAGAGCTGCAACAAACAACAATCGGAAGCCATGGACGACGACCTAAAACACCCAATAACTCCACCACAGTCTCCTGTTCTCTCCCCCAAATTTCCAATCGGAAAGTTTCAGTTTTTTCGATTCATCGCATGATTGTATAGTGAAATTAGAAGAAAAATTGTGAGAAATTTGACAATACCATTTTGAATTGAGGACGATCCACGGCGAGGTAGAAATGCAATTGTTGACTGCGAAAAGGAAACAACATTTGGGTTTTTTTGGAGGATTTTTGTTAGAAGGTAAGAGATAAACCTCAAAACCTAAGTGAAAGTGAGAAGAGAAACCTGGAACGAGACGGAGATTGAAAAGTTGGAGATGGAGCTTCCATGGAGTCCATAACTTCTCCAGATCCGGATTTCTCAAATTGCTTAATTCGCGCTTTATCAATTAAATTCGGAAGTAATTGAATTAAAACACTCTAAATTCTTGAATTGATATATGACTATTTGAAAAAGGACTGTCGGACAAACCACCGATCAGAGAAAAAATTTCCGCTCAAACGGAGAAGACGAAGAGCTCCGATTTTAAAAAGTGACAATGAAACGGCGACGTTGTAAGTTTGACATTGACAGATTTGTTTGTTCTCAACTCATACGTCGTCGTTTTTTACCATTAGTATAAACGGCATCGTTCTCAATGATTTCTTGGTAAATATGGCGTATATTTTATTAAATAAATTTTGACGCGTTCGCGTTAGTTGATATTCTTTTATACGTACAAATGTTTTCCAGTTAACTTTTGTTATATGTCAGACTAATCTTTTTACATTTTTATCAACCTGTT